AGCGATGTTTTTCCTAAAAATCAGGAYMGAARACAGCATTTTACGAAGAATAACTTWWTATGGCGAGCTAGTTATTAAAAAATATAATATTTTAAATAAGTTTTCTCCATAAAGCAACAAAAGTTGTCAACTAAATATTGATAATAAAAATTACAACAAAATACTCGTATCTACCAGACCTGAATTTGTAAAAAATCATAGAAGCATTATCTACATTTTTCAATTCTCATGCATTAACTCATTGAATTATTTCGTTCTCGCTGATATTATCATTAATAATTTCTTTTTATATTATACTTGTATGGTTAATTATGTTGTGAGTGTTTTAGATGACGTTGAGAAAAGAATCTCAACTGCTTTAGTTTTGAAAACTCACTTTTTCACATTGTAGCATTATTTTTATAAAAATTTCTACTTCAGCTAAATTTTGGGTGCTCATATTGTATTGACATTAAAGAATTGCTAAATTTTTTCTTCTAGCAAAAGTCGATCCACATCCATTTGGACTCGTGTAGGCTGGGGTTATTGAAATTGATTCAATATGTTTCTTTGTTGATATTTGGTTTTCTGTTAATAATCGTTTCTTTGCTGATAATCGTTTCTTTGCATACTTTAATTTTTTTTTAATGTATTAATGCTGGCAGCTCCTCTCTCGGAGGAAATGTGGTATTTTGGTTATAAGTGTCCTCATAATGGGTAATTGCTTGTTGTTGTGGATATTTTCGTGGAGGATAATCTTTATATGAATACGTTTATTGCTTATTTATAGCTTCCATCAATGTAGYTATTTGTGCATGGAGTTGCGCCATTTGTTGTTCCAATTTTTTTTCTTCTTTATGGTGAATTAATTGTCCAATGTTTCACGATTTGTCAGTTTTTGTAGAATTTAACGTCATCTGCTACTTCAGAGTTTATTGCGAACATTGGTGAAAGTATTATTCTATATTTCTCAAGCTATATTTTGTGCCTTGTTCCACTTTTTCATGAACTTTTGCAAGAATCGTCATTGTCCGTTGTTCCAAGGTCTGTTGTAAATCTTGATGAASTCGCCGCTGACCGTGTTTCAGGATCTGCTCTTGATTAATTTCTAGAAGTATTGTCCGCTGTTACAGGATTTATGCTTCCAGCCCTTATCATTTGTTTCGCCACTATTCGCAAGCATTTACTGCTGGAAGTCTTATTTCCCGTGTAGTGTTTTGTTTTATTCCTTTCGGAATGAAATTTGAGTTTTTGAATAGCAAGCAAATTTACCATTCCAGTTCAGCCTCAAGATAATTTTTAAATAAAATAAAAATGGGTTAAAAGATATATTTTTGAGCTGAACTGAAATCTGACCTCTTTATTTATACTCTTAAGTTTAACTTGTTACATGGATCTTACTKCTAATTATACTAACTAGTGTGTTTACTTATTACAAGATGATAGTTTAGTTAGTATTATCAGCTTAGGTACACTTCGCTGTTCTGAAGTAAGGCTATTTAATAATTCTACCATATTTATTCAATGATAAGTTTGTTTTGATATTTTTTGTTTTGATATTTTGATATTTTGATAAATAATGTTATAAAGTAYACTTTCCTTCACTCGCGCAACGATAGTGAGCAGAGAAATTACGGATCGGAGTTAGCTAATAAYACAGAACCTATTAGAATCAGACTACGCTGGTGCAATGTTACAAAAGAATGTAGTGTATTCTTGTGTCAGCGACATCTGTTGCTCTAGATTTCCTATAATTTATATATGAACGAAACATTTTCCGCTATTAAAAAATACCAAACGCATCTTAACTCTGAGCCCTAACAATCGTAAGTTGCTAACCTTAAACATTTTAAATTAGAGCAAGTYACATATAAAAGGGAGCTTTTAAAACTAAGTGCTATAATTCYAGTATGGAATTCGTAGGTATTCTCAAGTAATTAGAGAGATGTGAGTCATGAGTCTACTAAATTGCGGCCTTAATAATTTTTCTCCGTACCAAGTTTACTAATTATACAAGGAGTGCTCAAAAAGTATCGCGAATTTTGAATTTTCGCGGGTTACGTATATTCGAATTTCGATTTTTTGTGGCGTTATGTTGGTACTCATGTCTCTTGCACGTGTTTTGGATCGTCTTCGATTACCAATTCAAAAAAATGGATCAAAGAACCTGTATCAAATTTTGTGTAAAAACGAAATTAAGTGCGCGGATGCATTTCGAATGTTGACTGTGGCGTACGGAGAAGCTAACTTGGACCGAAGCAACGTTTATCGGTGGTACAAAATGTTCTCAGAAGGCCGAGAAGATGTGACAAAAATTGGCTTTTGCACCACSATAACGCCTCTGCTCACACATTGTTGCTTGTGCACGACTTTTTGGCCAAAAACAACACACTAATGATGCCGTAGCCATCGTATTACCCAGATCTGGCCCCCTGTGACTTTTTCTTGTTACCTAAACTAAAGAGACCCATGAAAGGACGACGTTACGTTTCTCTTGACGAAATAAAGACGACATCGAAGGAGGAGCTGAATAAGATAAAAAAAAAAAAAATGATTTTTTGAAGTACTTCGAAGATTGGAAAAACCGTTGGCACAAGTGTATAATATCTCATGGAGATTACTTTGAAGGAGACAAAATAGATATWCATGAATAAATAAATAATTTTTGAAAAAACACAAAATTYGCAATTCTTTTTGAACACATCTCGTATAATAGATAGATCGAATTCACTTGTGTTTTTCTCCGTGCTATTAACGATTTAGAAGGCTCTACAACCTCTCAGAAGCTCAGCAATTATTAGTGTATTTTTTTAAAGGATATCTTAAGTAAGTAGTTATTTATAAATGTTTCAATTTTTACCTTTAAAGTCAATAGCGAAAAATCTTGAATTTTTCGATGCAGATTTGTCGTAAATAGTTTTCAGAAAATATCATTAACTGAGAACGCTAATACTCATATTTCTTTTATATTTTCGTCAACATTTAATTTCATTAAAAAATAGAAATTTTTCCGTGTTTTACTTCACTTAAGTTTGGATATAAACATTAAATACATTTATTTACTTAATGAAATGTATTTTATTATTTATTTAGATTTATATTAGACCTAAAGTTTTCTCTGAAAAAATATGAAAAGTACACACCTCAATCAACAAAAATATATTTGGAAATACGAATGGTAATGATTACTCACTGCAAAAACGCTAAAGGTATTACTGAACCAATTACGGTTGATCGGTAGACAATTAAATTTAGAGTTTTACAAAAAAATTAAACAGAAATATTATTGCATCTAAAGCAAATTAATTAATTGTCCGCCGCAAATAACTTCGCATACATGTGTATGAATGTACATATACCTATCTTGCTAGAGTAATTGCTAAAAACATGTAAATATATTACTTATATGAAATATATATGTATGTATGTGCATATTTCTGCGCAAAAATGTAATTAAGTGAAGGTTTGGAAGAATAATATCAACTGCCACCGGATATTTGTATATAAAAATGTTCAATGCAATTATATTTTGTGCCAGGATTCAAYTCCATATCCAAATATACATAAAAACCATCATATATACATACCTAGGTACATGGAATACACATTATATAAATATTTAATTTATTTTTTCATAAATGCCGGAAAACATATGTATGTATGTATATCCGCTTAGAGCCTTTTTTATATTTCCACACAAACGCATACATACATATATAATATATGCTTTAATTCCATATTGCATGACCTGTGCGCCAGCATTGAATTACTTGTTTGCCTTCCGATCAGACAACCGATTCGCGTTTAGTATTAGTTTGGCCTGAATTGTATTGCGWAGAGTAAAGATACATTCACTTGCTATATATAATGTATTTTGTATATGTTTATGCATAACTATTGGCTGGATAMAAATATATAAGAATGGAAATCACCGAAAATAACGCCTCTTTAAATCCCATTTATGACTTTTATCCAAAAATCTTTTATTATCACACGTAAATATTGAACTCGATATCGAAGATAGTTGGATGTTTGTAGAATGGGAATTCGTAGAATTGGAAAAGCGATGCGCCAAATGTTGCTTTGTTTGCTGACTGTTAATATAAAATTCGAAATATAAAACTAATAATGAGTTCAAAATAAAAAAAACAGTTTTCGAATATTATATCCGTGCAATTCCGTGATATCGTAACTAGAAATGGAATGCACTGTTTTAATGATTTGTGGGGAGTCTAGCTAGATTAAATACAACAACATTCCCCAGATGAAGCCGCTTCAACGCATGAAAGAACACAACTGTTGGCTGACAAGCTTATGTCGTATATATTTGTGGATGGAATAATTTTGATTGACTGACTTGACTTGAAAAAGTAAGTCGTTATTTACACGACTTTAACATAGGTGTATTGGACCGTATAAAGGACGAAAGCGAAAAATACGGCCACATTTGAAGAAAAAGAAAGTGATGTTTTACCAAGACATTACACTGTGTTCCAGGTCAGTGAAAATAATAGCAGAAATTCTTGAATCGGGATTCGAAACGCATTTGTGTTCACTGTCTTCTCCAGATGTAGCCTTCAGCAACTATTTTCTGTTCTCAGATCTAAAAAAAAAAAAAAATAACAAAAAAACGATCGTTATTAAGAAATTTTCGTCGAATGAATAGATGATCGCCGAAACTGAGACCCCTTAATGAAACAAGTATCGCTATAATCAGTATGACACCGTTGAAGTAAACTACTATAATGAATGAAAAAACGGATTTTGCCCAAACAAATTTTCCTTTACCGATCTRAAATCGAAAATCAAACTTCGGCAAGCTATATTATATATTTTCCATATACTTTTACCATAAGTCATTGTCAGATATCTTCTCAATCTAATATCATGCCTTTAATATCAGCAAGAAAACATTTTATGTCTAGATTTTCCTGTTTTTACATGAAAAATTAATATAAAATTAAAAGCCAAATTAATTTTTTAATGCTTTCTTAATTTTGATTTACTTACAGTGAACTAAATGGAAATGAATGGCTGCTCATATTCATTAAAACAAATAAACCCAAAGATATACAAAATTTGAATAATTGAAAAGGAAGGCAGCTCTATTTGAAAGAAAGAACCTTAAAGAATACAGAAAATTAGTTAATAAACTAAATCCACCAGCTGAAAATGGTGTAAATACAAAAGCAAACTGGTCTATATACAGTGAAGATATCAGCGGGAACGGAAACTGAGGTCAAGCGAAAGATTGCAGGAGATTTACCCTATAAATAAGTAATGCCAAAAGTACTTATACATACATATGTATTAAGGCACATAAATCACAAGGCATGTAAACATCCCGCGCTGTACACTGCTATAAACCGTTAGATRTACATACCCACCTTTTGATAAGTATTAGAGGCAAGCAAGTACTCTGAAAGAATATATGTGTATGTTGCTGCATAGCCACAGCCGCTGCTCCTTTGTCTCGATTTAGTTGAAGCGGTGACCTTAACACTTGCCACACTGACCAATGCTAATGAATCAGCGACAACAACAACAACAACAACAACAACGCGGAAAATAATTTCACAATCTGCACCCAAAAACCAACAACTCGTTGTAGCTCCGAAAACGAATAACTAAACAAAGGCTAGCGGTGTAACCACAATGAATGTAATCGCCAAGACCCAACAATTCGCACAGACATTAGCAGTAGTTGGCTTCACCAGTATCACTGCGGCGGCCACTCATGCGACGGCACACAATCCAAGGACGGATAATTTACTAGCTGCAGCCGCAGCAGAAACAACTCGTTCCACTTTAACACTAGCTGCCAGAATGTTGGCTGGCTTACCGACATCCGCCTCCGACATTGCTGACTCAGCGATAACGGATATGGCGKCGGTGGACAGCACGAGCAGCAWTGAAAGTGCTGAKGGTGAGGGTGAGGGTGTGGCCGAAGCAGAGCCGGATGCGTTGGATGTGTTGCGAGATGAATGTTATAAACGCTTGAATGAAACCGCGACACAGTTTACAGCAGGTGAGTGGGATTGTGGGTGTGGGTGAAGGTGGTGTGTGTGTGTATGCGAATCCTTTGTTTAAATGCGTGCGCAAAGTGGTCCTAAAATAGTTTAGTATAGCGTTTATTAGAATGGTAAAAAATCCATTATAATCTAGAATATAAATTTTAATTACTTTAGACGTTAAATTAGAGTTRACGAAGCGAAATTGCATTTTAAATAAATATCATTTATGGCCTTCAATGTTTTAGTGAACTGCAGGAAAAAGTCATAATTTATTAGCAGATTTTTAACTTTAAAACTGATACCCTTCAGACTATCTTCGCGATTTTATATTCAAGTGAATTAAAGGTCCGCAAAAAGGACACCATTCAGACCACCTAAACTCCAAGAAATTCTGATTCTCATACCATACTCTATCATTTAAATATTATTTCACTACCTCATATATGACTTAAACCATGTTCAACAGCAATGCTGTTCGATTTACTTTCGGTCCAATGTAACGTATTTGAAATTAGACCCGACCGTCTGACACAATATTTTCTTGATGCAAAACGCTTTTATCAGTCTTGTATTAATYTTCAATTTTCTGGAATTCTGACTTGGAACCCTACATGTATAGAGGATAGAAGTTGGCCAATRTCAGCTCTATTTAGTTTTCATATGTATTCGATATATGGGTACATTCTATTKAACGATATACATATTTGTTAAAAGGACGAAAATTATTTATTTCATATATCTCATTAAGGTTAATTCTGGACCTCTTTTTTKTATGATATCTTATATAGGATAGGTTGGGGTAGGGTGGCTAATGCTGCATCAAAGTGGGGACGTCCTTCAGGAAACCACTTCTAATAGCCAAATATTCAAAAGTTGTGATGTAATTTTATCACAACTTCTTCCAAACAGCTACAATCACAGAAAGATGTAATTTGCTAAGAGCGGAGTTCTCTAGAACTCTTACAATTTACTCGGAGCCGAAGGGAGCTTGCAACTGCATAGAAATTCAGCAGTGAACCATAAAATCCAAACTAAGCTCAGTTCCGTTCCCATTCCGCAGTTATTGAGTTTGAGGTACCAGTCTTAGCAAGGTCATCAGCCTTGATATCTCACATAGTTTTTGCTAGAAGATAATTGATTTTACTGCTATTTTTWATTTTTTTTTTWWWTWWTT